TCTGGGCTCAGGCCATCCTCTCACCTCAGCCTCCCAAAGTGCTGGGATGACAGGCTGAACCACCACGCCCGGCCTGAACTGTCTTTAATACCCCATTTTACTTTCTCTGACTGTCACGCACACCTTCCATCCCACTGTTTCCTACTACAGTGTTTTCAGTGTCTGTTGCAAAGGGTGTCTTTACACACAGCTGTCCCTATGCTATGCCAGTGTCCAGCGAGGCTCTGTCATGCCATTCCTGTGTCTGTCACACACTGCCACACAGTAACTTAGAATGACAGGTTATCTTGGGTTTCCTTGTGAACAGTTCTGTGGTCGTGAACATGATGGTTTTGTTTGTTTGTTTTGCTTGGCCCCCACCCTTTTTTGGTCTCCCGTTGTCTATTTTTTAAAAATCCTTTTTCCTGGCCAGGCTCGGTGGCTCAGCCTATCATCCCAGCACTTTGGGAGGCAGAGGCAAGTGGATTGCCTGAGCCCACGGGTTCGAGACCAGCCCAGGCACCTTGGCGAGTCCTCGTCTCTACAATAAATCAAAAATTATCCAGGTGCGGTAGTGCTCTCCTGTAGTTCCGGCTACTTGGAAGACTGAGGCAGAAGGATTGCCGGAGCCCAGTGGGTCGACACGGCGGTGGCTGTGAGCATGCCACTGCACCACAGCATGGGTGACGGAGTGAGACTGCAACTCAAAAAAAAAAAATTCACTTTTCCTGTCTCACAGATCCGGATGGGACATCTAGTCCATTGGAGGCAGAGGAGGGGCTACCTAACTTCCTGCCTCTCTCTTGGTCTTTTTTTTTCCCCTTAGTTGGAGTCTCGCTCTGTCACCCGGACTGGAGTGCAGTGGCTGCTCCCGGCCACCGCAGCCTCGACTTGCTGGGCTCCGGCGATCCTTCTGTTTCAGCCTTCCAAGTAGCTGGAACCACAGGCGCGTGCTACCACACCTGGCTAATTTTTTATTTATTGTAGAGATGAGGTCTCGCCAAGTGGCCTGGGCTGGTCTTGAACCTGCAGGCTCAGGCAATCCACTCGCCTCGGCCTCCCAAAGTGCTGGGATGACAGGCTGAGCCACCAAGCCCGGCCCACTCTTGGTCTTACAGCGAATCTTCCAGCATTTCTCTATCTATGGACCGTGTTTGCTGTGGGCTTCTGCCGCGTGTCTTCCTTCCTTCTACTCTTCATTGGCTGAGGATGTTCTGGAATGGTGTTGCGTTTGATCCAGTTAGGCTTGTGGTCTCTAAACTCCGTGGTGTGAACACGAATCACTACCCCATTTGGTTTCCCGGCGTAAAACTCTCTTTCCTCTAAGCAGGGTCCTTGGGTTGTCCTGTGATTTTTAAAAATGTCATACTGTTTTCTGGTGGAAGATGTGTCACTGTGGGTTCGATGTCTTTAAAGGGAAGGTCCTAGCCAAAGTATGTGTTTCCCCGAAAGTCTCCTGGGAAACCATTCAGGCTCTGCAGTTTCTGTCGTCTGACTCCTCCTTCCAGCCTTGCGTGATCATGTCGGCTGTCAGGCTACCTATTAGTCCTTTCACAGAAACAATTATTTTCATTTTGTAAAGATGAGGACTCACTGTGTTGCCCAGGCTGGTCTCGAACCCCTGGGCTCAAGCAATCCTCCCGCCTTGGTCTCCCAGAGTGCTGGGATGACAGCCTGAGCCACCACGCCCGGCCTGGAAGAAGTGTTTGATCTGTAGACCTTGCCCGTTCATTGCTGTTTTTCATTCTGTCGACCTCTCTGTTTCTTATTATTTCTCTACTTCTCGCTTTTGAAAGGAGGGACCCTGAGAAACTCATAATAAACTTAGTTCACATTTTGCCTCAGCAGAACCATTTGTGCTTAGACTGACACGCTTTGTACCGAGCACAGGTTACACATAGATGGATACATTTCCAATTGGCAGGTTTTAAGAAGCGGTCAGACATTCTACTGCAGGCCGAGCTGGTAGCCTACCCCACCTCCTCGGCAAATCGCCATCAGATGCAAGACGGGGACTGCCCAACCTTTCAATTCAAGGTTTAGCATAATCATCTCTAAGAAACTTCCAGGTTCCTTGTCAAAGGCGGAGGGTCAAAGATCACCCCTTAGCTGGCCCAAGCCATAGCCATGATAATAAGACCACCTTTCTGCTAAGGAGCTTGTGGATTGGAAACGTCTGGTAGGCCCGTTGCAGGAAAAACTCCTCCCCGTGTCTCCTTCCATCTAGCTCGCCACCACAGAAGCAATCGTGGGACTAACCCACCCACCTGCCTGCTGTTTATCACCCGACATCAGTATCTGCCCTTCCCTGGCCCTTGGTGACGACGTGAGGCAGACTACCACCTGACCACCTTAACGACCCTCCTCCACCAAAGGGAAGGGTTAAAAGGACTCAACCACAAGTCACCATTTGCCACTGCCAGACCACTGCTTTGCTAGACTGTGGTGTGGCCATGTGTTCTTTGATCCATGGCCGTCACCATGGTGTCTAGCTTTGGATTCCTTCCCTCCCTTCTCTCTCTCTCTCTCTCCCTCTCTCTCAGTTGCTTTCTAAATAAACTATATTTTCTTTCCTTTTTTTTTTTGAGTCGGGGTCTCACTCTGTCGCCCAGACGGGAGTGCAGTGGCCGCTCCCGGCCCCCGCAGCCTCGACCTGCTGGGCTCCGGCGATCCTTCCGCCTCAGCCTCCCAGTAG